TTACTAACTGTATGACTTTAACCAAGCTATTCAACCTCTCCGACAACCGGTTTTCTCTACTGTTTGATGGGGATGATAGGAAATATCTACCACTTTAGGCGGCTTTGAGCATTAAATGAAATAATGCATGTGGAATCTAACATATAGTAAGAATCTAACTACATACAGTACAGAAGTACACAATCTAACATAGAGTAAGTGTTCAGCAAACAGGAGTTACGATGATAACAGAACTTTCCAGAACTCAGACTTTCAAAAATAGCAGAAGAGAAAGAAAAGACAACTTTGAATGCTTTCACGGCTCTGACTTCACAGTTCATCTACAATGGCACCTACATCATGACCGCACCTACATCATGGTCAATGAAATAATGGAAAATTACCCATCTATTATTTCATGGGACGATCATCTGTGAAGGTCAAACATGAGCAGTCACCGTCAGGCTCTGAGGAGAGAGACACTTTAGTAAACACGGTAACAGGTACGAAAGAGATGTGCAAAGTACTAACCCACAGGACACAGTGACTCACTATCTTTGGTGTTGGGCAACACTTTCAGAGAACAGACCACTGACCAGGGTCTGGAAGGATGAAAAGGAGCTCACCGCGTAGGAAAGAATAAGGACTTGCTTGGCCTCTGCTTCAGTATTCCTGGCATGTGGCCGGCAAGACTCTCGCCATCAGCAGGGTCCTGGAGACAACAGCTGTCATGCAGCCGACTCTGAGCAGATGTGCGTGGCCCTGATTCTCACACTGCTAGAGATGACATCTGTATGTGTCACCTGAATCTAAACTGAAGAACCACAAGTGGAGACACTGCTCGAGAGAGGTGGTCCTGAGCTCTGGAAGAGTTCCGGAAGGTGATGATATTGTTTAAGAAATCACGTCCAGAACACCAGTGAGGTGGTGTTTAATTGTAAAGATAGAACAATGCAGAAAAATCTTTAAGAAGTATAGGAGGGAGATACAAATACTAAAAATACGCCAGTCGGGGGCACACAAAAATGTCAGAAAAGAGGTAACAGCTATCTGGAATACAGAGTCAAAAATTATTTTGAATTATTTCTATTTCATAGTTATTTTGTGAAAATGAAGTCAGTACTGGGAATCAACGGTGCTCAAGATATGGGGCCCCCAAGGTTTTGAATGTTCTTCCTGTGGTTCCCAGAGCATCCGCTCGGGCTACACACACGTGAAATGAAGCGGCAGGTGGGTGAATCCCGAAAGCCACAGGTCCTATCTTTGTGGTGGGAGGGCTTTCCTAGCTGAGGGAAAGGAAAAGTGCCCGAGCCTAACTGGGGAAGAAAAAGGGGTCTCTAATACTCAGGGCTCCTGACACGGTGGGATTAAAGGCCGGCCAGCCAAGCTGTTGGCCACCAATCTATAAAGAGGACTAACTCGTCTTGGGAAGAGACCAGAAACACGGGGCCAGCTAACTCAGGTTTCCACATACAACTCCTTACATAACTGGTAGGAATACCCTGGTTCTACTTCCCCTGAAGTAAACAGTCTTCTAGCGAAAATAAAGAGCAGAGGGGAAACCCCAAACAAAATACAAAACGCCTCCCTAGGTTTCATGTAGCTAAACTGACCAAATGTTCTTGCTTAACCAGGATTCCCAGGTTATGCCTTTTATTTCAGCCTATTAATAGCAACCCCTTCCTTCTCAAAATGTCCTCACTGGAATGGTAAATTGTATGGTCACCATCTATTTAGTCTATAGAACAAGATACTGTAACAAAAAGATGGAAACATATACTTTTTAGTAGAAAATTTGTTAAAAGATAATCAAATAGCACCAGCCAAGGAAACAGCCTTGTATTTCACAGAAGAATACCAATGTGGACCAAATGATAAAAGTAGAAAATGTACTCTTTTCCAAATCCTAAGGGAAGCATTAAATCACACAAGACTTATCAAATGGAATGGAAGCCATTAAGTGAAGAGTTGATGGGGAACGAGAGATCACCCAGTGACAAAATAACACCACACAGATTGCTTTTGGTGGCAAAAGGAAAAATAGAACTTTATAAGGGAGGGCGTCAGCACCCTAATACCGTGGGGAGCCTTAGCTGCGCCCATGATGGGCAAACAACATCTCTTAAAATGCAATTTACTCACAATTAGCTTGAATCGAATCAAGTCTTTAAATGTAATTTCCAGCTTACAGTAAATTCAAGAGACAACGGAGCAAGTTAATTCATCCTACATAAGGCAATCAGGCTAATCTCTTCAACATGCCAGTGAAATGCATACAGGCCTCTACTAGATCACGAGAGCCTAAGGGACATATAAACCAATGCAACGTGTAGTCCTAAAACTGACCTACTCTATAGGACACCTTGGAAGAATTTGGGAAGTGGGACTGTGAACTGGGTATAATGACAAAAAGGACTGACGATTAATTTTAGGTGTAATACAGTATTATTTACTATGTGGGGAAACGTCCTATTTTTTTTTTTAAAGAGATAGATTCTGAAATGTGGGTATGTAAGGATCTGTGATAATTTACTTTCTTACTTCTGCACACAAATATGGTTAAAAAAGAATTAGGTGTATGTGCATACACATAAACCCACATCTATCTATCTATCTATCTATCTATCTATCTATCTATCTATCTATGTATCTAGTTCAGAAAATCAGCTTCTCCACATCGCCATTAGGGGAAAATAGAACTGTTTAAAGAATAATCATTTGAAGGAATTTAGATCAGCCTGCCCCAGCTGCCCCCACATGTCTGTCTGACTCCAGCATAAGGGATGTGTCCAAAGGCATGTTTCTATGGTTCACGCAGCTTATACAACAGGATTCTCAGACAGCGGCTTTCCCAAAATCACAGTGCTAACAGGAGGTTCAAGAAATGGTCTTAAATAGCTCTTTCCTTAAAATAGCAGATGTTGCCATGTCCTCTTATTGTACTAACTAACGGGCACCTGTCTAGAAATCCACAAATCTAAGCTAAGGAATGTCACCAGACACGTGTAGAGCCTTGTCTCAAGAATATATGCGCAGCAGCTGATACAGGTGTCCTCAGTGCACACAGGAAATCACTCACAGGGTCTATTCCCAGAGCAGAGGCAAAATCACTTCCTAAGGAGGAACCCTGACCTTGGTAAGCACATAATCATGCGACACTGCTTCTCTGATGCCCTAATGGCAAGACCTCTCTGTAGGGAGAAAAGTTACACATGGGTAAAGACTAGAACAGGTGAGAAGGGGGAGAGACGGGATTTATGATAAAAGTTAACAGATCGGGGTTAGATGCGATGAGAGACTGGAGGATTTATTAGTAAAAAGAACTTGGTAACGGGGGATTCATTCCTCACTAAGGGTCAGGAGAGGCATCAAGGCAGCACAGTGAGAAGTGGAGAGGAGTGACAGGAGAACTCGAGAATGACAGATGAGGGTGGAGGGGAAGCAAGCAGATAGGAGGAGACATACTGGGCAGGAACAGGGAACAAGGGATAAAACACAACAGCACCATGGGGAGATAGATGAAATCTGAAATGGCAAAGCAAACATAAGGACAGAGGGAGCAGGAAGTAAGAGAAAGACAGCTGGTCAAAGGTTGAGGGGGCAGAATTTGGAAGAGACAAGAGCTGACTGCATCTCTCATCTCTGCACTCACAGAAACTTACACAGTAAAGGTTCCAGAGGGAGGGCGGGAGGGAGGAAGGACGAGGGGCGAAGGCAGGCAGGCAGGCAGCGAGTGGAAGAGAAGCGACAGAAGGGCAGTGAGATGAAGGTGTGGGAGAAGGAAAGAGAAAATAAGGAACGAGGAAAGCACACATTCCACAGGCACACCAGGGGATTAACACTAGTTAAAACACGACAGACATGGGGATCATGAGCCTTCTATGCCACGTTCTAGAATTACGTGATGCAAATTTACCATAGGAATACAAGCACTGCTGTGACCAGGCCACATTTCTGTGGCTGACCTGAATCGTAACTGATCTTACGCAAATGCCTAGAATCAAAGTCGACACGTGATCTACTGTATTGAGAAAACAGAATTGATCAGCTCTTGGATCTTCCAGGCACCATGTGTGATGCCAACCAGCCTCTGGGGCTCCTCATTTTCCCCAGGGTCCTGCTCTCATCCAGTGGGTCACTTCATATGAACTGGCCTGAGGCTGTGGACTTTTTTCCATCCATTCTTCTGTCCGCCCGGAACCAACACCAAGAAGCGAAGCCTGGGTTAACATAATTAATGTAGACAGAAATCTGGCTAAATACTACAAAAAGTCCATTTTTCAGGCGCCTGATTATCTAGATTGCTGACTGCATTGATTACATTAATCCAACAATTGCCAGATCTTCACTTTCTTTCTGTTGGGCGAGATTTAATCTAGAGAACTAACAAATCTCTCTAGGATGCAAATCTCTCCCAGGACACGTGATTTTGATTGACAGCTCACCAAATAATTTTGGAATGCATGCAAAATTAGACTCACACGCAATTTTCATGCAAAGGCAAACCTGTCCATCAACATAACAGTGGTTCCCCGAGAGCAGTCAAGGTTCTGTGTCTGGAAACTAGAAACTAGGAAGTGTGATGTGTGAGAAGGCATAATCGAGAGTATTTGTTTGGGGTTTTTAATGTGTGTACGTGTTTTCTGGCACATGACAAAAGGATCAGAAATTTGTATGAAGAGTTATCATTACAGGATTTCAAATCACAATGGAGTATGTGTTTGAGTATTGCTGGTCTGCAATTTGGTGGAAGCAATGGGTGGGTAAACTCAGATTCCTTGAGTTTTCAGTTTGGTTTTCAAATGGAAAACAGTACAAGAAATACTCTCTTTGACTCACGATGCCAGTCTGTCCCTTAGAAGAGTCTAAATGTATGAGGTTGGCACAGGTTTAACATCTGTACTTCCTAACTGGAGTTTGAGGCAGATACCGAATACAAGTGCAAGAATACAGAAGTTATCACTGCAGAGCACACGAAACTAAAGAGAAAGATCCAAGGGGCCTCCTTGATGAATACTCACTATTTGGTAGAGTCAGACAACTGATATTCTCGTCGTCTATCATAGCATTCCTGGATTCCAGGATCATTCCATAAACTCTTTATTGCATCTACATATGGATTCTCGAAAGCAGACACCTTCTCCACATCGACTTCTCGAACTAATTGTGCATGAGCCTGTTGAAAACAAACAAATATAGCAGTTTTAATCTCTCCGTCACTGAAAACTGCCTTTGGTTTGCACATCACACTGCGCACAACTGAGGTTTTCCTTCATGTGCTCATTTTCAACCTGGTTTATCAAAAAGCAATGCTTCATTTCTTTTTTCCTCACAGAGAATCCAGTCCCAAATCTTTCCCTCTACAGTAAACCTGGAGGCTACATAATGTTGATTAGAGGAAAACAGTGTTCAGCTTCCCATCAGAACAATGAGGATGTCATGCTACACATATGATCATTTCTGGTGATTATCATAATCCTAAAGCAAAGAACAGGAATAATTATGCCCTCTGTATTTATAGTTCATTATAATCAAACACATAATACACTCAGCCCTTGAGTTTACGTCTTAGCATAAACTTAATCAGACTCTTCAGCTAATCAGGTTTAATTCTATCATTCCCTTTCAAGATAGGATATAAAACCCCCAGAAGAACAATTATTATCAATGATTTAATGTGAAACACAGTAACCATTCCCCCTCCATTCCAACACACCTTGACTTCCAGAATCTTTATTTCATACATGCCTTATCAACATTATCAGATTGAGAATTCTATTCAACTTTTTAACAAGGAAAAAGGACTTTGTTATTTTCATTACAACGTTTAGTAGGAAAAAGGTAAGGAGATTTTAAAAAGGTTTTTGAGGGGCGCCTGGGTGGCTCAGTCGGTTAGGCATCCTGACTTCAGCTCAGGTCATGATCTTGCTATTCGTAAGCTCCAGCTGTCAGCATAGAGCCCGGCTCGGATCCTCTGTCCCCCGCCCCCCACCCCTGCTGCCAGACCCTCCTCCATTCTCTCTCCCTCTCTGTTCCAAAAATAAATAAAAGCATTTAAATTTTAAGAAAATGTTTTCAGTCAAAAATGACTAATGGCTTAGTCGATTGGGCTTCCAACTTCGGCTCAGGTCATGATCTCATGGTCCGTGAGTT